ACCTGGGAGTAGTACAATACCTACTACTCCCTGGTCTGAACAGGGATAGCTACAGTGTGTGATGTGCAGAGTTGCACATGTGATCCGGTCTGCATATTATGGTCTCTCTCGAACTAGCTGCGAACCAAGATCGACATTTTTGAGGGGGGTGCTTTGGCACCCAAAGCACCCCCCCCCCCCCCCCCCCCCCTCAGCGGCCTAAGCCCCTACTTTTGGTGTATCGGGCAGATTTCCTGTGTGGCTTAATCATGCATGCAGTAGTGTAACAAGCGAATTTCTTTATCATTCTGGTTTGGTGGAGTCTAAAGGCTTGCACACTCTGTGGAGTGGCTGGTGAATATATGCACGTTCCAACTGTACATACCCTTTCTTGGCTTAGGCCTGCACTGATCGTCCACTGGTTGGAACAGATCCACCAAACATGTCCATTTGCTGTTTCCGACACTTGCAGTGGCATCACGGAGTCGACCAGCGGATCATTGCCAGTGAATCAGGGAGTAGACTTGAAGTACTACTGGGAATCTTACAATACTCCGCCCTGGTCTGAATCAGGGCTAGGGAGTAGTACAATACAGCACTACTCCCTGATCTGAATCACACTATTGTGACCGATGATAAGTCCTTGTACTTGTACTTGTACTGAGCTCAACTACACTACAGTCTACACTACAGCCTCCCAACTGCATGCAGGATAGTCATGTACGTCACCATGGGCACACTCACAGTGCAGTCGGTCTCCCAAACCACGCAGGGCCGGGCATGCACAGTCCAGCAGACACACTGACTCTGTTACTGTACTGTCACAGTGTCAGCATTGCATCATATCATCAGTATCCGTTGACCATGCACCATGGTTGACAAAGTCATTACATGACATTCCGTTCTCGAAGCAAAGGCGACACTATGCTTCCCTCCAAGATAAAGCTGACACCTAAATTTGTTGATAGTCAGTGCGGGATCATGGACCAAGTCTCTCTGGGGACTCTCGCTCTGCCACACTTCGTTCCGTGGCTGAGAATAACGAACTGATTGACGCGTTCCAGCGCTCCGACATTGATCAAACAAGCGGGTTTCATTTGTCTCCAATCTAGCCTAGCATAGCTCAGCGGCTGCTGCATGTATGCTCTGTTACAGGAAGTCAAGTATTGTATTTGGAATTCTCAGGGATAACTTTGAAGCAAAACTATAATGTTGATTATCACCTCCACCACTACACTGCGCTCTCAGCCGACTAGACCCTCCTGCACACAACCATCACCACTGCGAGGACACTTCAAAACTATTATTAGTGTATTGTAGAATACTACTCCTGACTAGTACTAGTACAAAGTCATGTTAGCTAGCGCAATGTCAATGCCATGTACAGGTAGTTCTGCGGTAGTAGATCTGTACTTGGCTTCAGCTGTACTAATAGTAATACTGTACAGCTTGTAGATGAAGACTTCATGAATGTATGATGTAGTGGCAGTGCTGAGCATAAAAAGGAAAAGTTTGCACATCCGTGCTACAACGAACTAGTCTTTTCGCTCGTGCCATGGCGCCAGGCGACCCCCATGCCTACAGTACTGAGTCTGTCTGATATGCAGGTGCATGCTGCACTAAAGTGTTCAGTATGTCAGTATGACACAATTGTGACAAAATAATGATTATTAATTGCTAAACTAGAGGCCGGTACAGCTGGAGTATAGTAGTGCATGCTAGCTCCGGTACCTAGTCTCAGAATGTCTTGTGCCCCCCCCCCCCCTGGCAAGGCGTCATGCCCTGGCAAGGCGTCATGCCCTGGCAAGGCGTCATGCCCTGGCAAGGCGTCATGCCCTGGCAAGGCGTCATGCCCTGGCAAGGCGTCATGCCCTGGCATACATCATCACAAGTACAATGTCATGTACTTGTTCATCATGTACATACCGTGAATACACCGGTAGATCTACTATTATCACCTGTATCACCAGTACTAGATCTGTATGCTTACCTGTAGCCACGAGATCGCATACAAAGCTTTCATAGAAAAGCTCGGCACTGCCTGCGAGTAGATCTACTGGCATCTGATTTGTAGAAAACCTCACATCACTGACAGTGAGTGATAAGAGACAAGGAAGAAATGGCGAGAATTGGAAAGAATCCAGAAGGGAAAAGGAAGAAGAAAGGAAGCAGAGAAGGCAACGAGCTAAGTAGATCTAGTGTACCATCAGCAAGAGGCGATGATGATCACTGTGTAATCTTGCTACCAGACGTGCAGACACAACCATGTCCACTAGCCATGGCTATGTATGCCCTGGCAACCGTTCCTCTCATCCAGGAAGTGTCTCAGAGCGGAGCACTCCAGTCGTGGTATGCAGACGACTCCACTGCCGCTTCCACCATTCGAAAGCTGCATCACTGGTGGTTACTGCTTAAGCAACGAGGCCCAGCATATGGGTACTTCCCCAATGATGCCAAGTCGGTTCTTGTTGTGAAGCCGGAGCATCTTCAGGAAGCAGAATCCCTGTTTGCTGACACGGCAGTCCAGATTCGCACGGATGGCTGGCGGCATCTCGGTGCGGTACTTGGGTCTCCCGAATTCTGCAAGCAATATGTCACAGAGAAGGTAGAGACATGGGCGCTAGAGGTTGGACGACTGGCTGACTTCGCCACCACTCAGCCACAAGCGGCATACGCTGCTTTTATTCATGGCCTCCGCCACAAGTGGTCGTTTGTGGCCCGGACGGTCCCAGGCATCAGCGGACTGCTAGACCCGCTGGAGCACTCCATCCGACAGCGGTTCATCCCTGCTCTAACCAGTCGCCCCGCACCTGGTGACGAAGAGCGCGCCATACTGTCCCTCCCGTGTCGAGAAGGTGGTCTTGGTCTCATTGACCCGAGGTCTTTGACGGACCAATACAATATGTCTGTCGCTGTCACCAACATCCTCGTGAGCCGGATACTGGACCAAGATACCAACATGGACGAAGTGCCCACCACCATCCATGCTGCCAAGCTAACTGCAGCAGCAGCAACCAGGAGAGCCGCTCGAGACCAAGCCAGTCAGCTCTTGGCCACATGTGATGCGCCCACCCAGCGAACCCTGGGGATGGCGGCCGAGAAAGGAGCGTCCAACTGGCTCACTTGCCGGCCCCTGAAGCAGTTCGGGTTTGTCCTCCACAAAGGCGCCTTCAGAGACGCACTCTGTCTGCGGTTCGGCTGGGTCCCTCCCCGCCTGCCATCCACTTGTGTGTGTGGCAAGGCATTTAACACCAGCCATGCTCTTTCGTGCCCAACTGGTGGATACCCGGCTCTCCGCCATAACACGATCCGCGACCTGACAGCCGACCTACTGCGTGAAGTGGCAACGGATGTGAAGATAGAACCTCCTCTGCAGCCCCTGGAGGGTGAAAGGCTCCGGTATCGCTCTGCCATCTTGGAAGATGGTGCTCGTCTTGATGTGGCGGCATCTGGTGTCTGGGGAAGTCGTTTTGAGCGCACGTTCTGTGATGTTCGGGTTTTTAACCCTCATGCGCGCTCGAACACTTCCTCAACTCCCGCGTCCACCTATGCCAAGCACGAACAGCAGAAGAGAAGGGCCTACGAAGAACGCGTCAGGGAGGTGGAGCATGCTTCCTTTCTCCCACTGGTATTCAGTGCATCTGGTGGGTGCGGCAAGGTAGCCCACGCTTTCCTGAAGCGTCTTGGCCATATGGTTTCGGAGAAGCGGCATGAACCCTACTCCTCCGTCATGTCCTGGATCCGCTCTCTTGTCTCCTTTGCTTTGGTTCGATCCTGCAACATGAGCCTCCGTGGTCACCGTGCTTCTCCCTACCGCAGTCGTTTGGATGCTGCCACTCCTGTTGTGCTGGCAGTCAACGACTGTCAGTTGCGTGACTGAGACTCTTGCGGAGTAGCCGTGTCTAGCCACACTTTTTATTATCCGATGATTTTGTTTTGTTTGCTATGACTCCGTGATTTTCTGTTGGTTGCTTTTCTGCTGTGCGACCATGTCCATGATAAGGACTTACATGATTGTACTGTAGTTCAACGGTATCTTTGCCGGATATCGTTTGGAAGGGTTTGGAAGGGTATTGATGGGTATTCCCCTTCTGCAGTGCATGGACAACTACCACTCAGTGAGTCCCATACGACAAACTGTTCATATGTAAGTAGTTTAGCATATCTATCACATGACCATACCGGGAAGCCATGTTGGTTTAGTTCCAACTCGATCCACTCAACCATCTATGGGTCACATCAAGAGTACATGTACTCTTGGTCACATGATATCGGCCATGTTGATTCCACTGTCCACACACACATGCCTCTGATATCACTTTCCCATGACAAAGATGTGGAACCATTCAATGCCCCGGCAATGCCACTACAAAAAAAGTCAGTAAAGTGCTTTTGATTCAGGAGGCTGTTGCAGTCGTTGCCATAGAATAGCCATGCATGGAGCCATAGACTCATACTGTAAATAATACAAAATTTCGGCACTTCACGATTTTTGACATTTCGGCGGCGATTTATTTTCGGCGTGGGGTAGAGGGCATGGTATTACGACAGATGCTGTGAAAAATTTCACCGGCGTTTTAATTTAGGCGTTTTGGGTCGGTGCCGAATATAGCCGAAATTAAATACTAGTAGCTGCCGAAATTTGTATATTTACAGTACATGACATTGTACATGTATTCTCATCATAGTACATGTACATGTACACTGTACTACCGGTATACTACTCATTGTATCATACTATTCGTAGTGCATGGCCATTCGCTCAACAGTGAACAGTGAACAGTGAACAATTAAGCATGGAAAGAGGGGAACATTGACTACAATGTCATGTACATGTGCATACACAGTCAGTCAGTATGTACAGTATCAGTACACACACACAGGGGCAAATCCTAAGAAGGGCTAAGAAAGGTGGTTACCATGGCCACCGGACACGATGTGCAACAAAATCGTTATCATCGTTAGTGTTGGTCCTCTCTCTCTCTTGGTCCATGTACTTCAGTAGTCAAACTTTATTTTTTTAACCATGATTAATATCCGGAAAAAATGAAGGGAAGAATCCAAAGTTAGCACATGCCATACAAAGTACAGGTAATTATATTGCAAATCATCCCTACTTGTATAGTAGGGCGATATTAAACCAAAGGCTCATCTAAAAAACCCGTAGACGGCACTCACTAATGTCCACGTACATGTACATGTAGTAGTGGTAATAGTGGTGATAGTGGTAATACAGTCAAACCTCTTTAGAACGAACACCAAGGGACCGATGATATTTGTTTGCAATAACGGGAGTTCTTCTTATCCGTATGGTATACGCAGTGAATACATAGTGATTTATTCAATGGAGTTACGAATTCTAGTTCTTCTTAAGCAAACATTTGTCTTATCAGTGTTCTTCCTAACGAGGTTTCACTGCAGTGGTAATAGTGGTAATAGTAATTGTGTTCGGCCTACATGTAAGTAACATCTTTGTGTTGCGCATCGCCGGATCGGCAGGCTGATTACAGATTATGACATCACCGAAAAGAGAATGATAAAATGATAAATAATATTTCAGTAATTCCATTTCAGCAACAGGGTGTATTCAAATACATGATTGTACCGGTTGCATACGCAAGGCAGTTCAGCCCGTGCGTGACACTAACAATACGTTATTCGGCAGGAACGATAAACAATAACAATTGTATAATTAGATGTGAACAGGTGTGTGTGTCTGCTTGCCAGCAGACTGTTCACATCCTAGCATGCATGACTGTGAGCTGGCCAGGATCAGCGTAAGTAGTGGTAGGGACTAGGGGTAGTTGTGAATGACCAGTGATCTCAGTGTCAATCGTCTTCTTCTGAGTCTGCAAAAGCTTGGTATCCATACATTGACACACCAGCACAGGCCCAGCCAAGGGATTCACAAAATGCAAATCTGAAATAATTATTCAATAGACACCAGTCTAGTCTTACTCCTGATCAGTGTGGTCCGTCTATCCACTATCCACTGTTGCCGATTATGTGAATCTTCTTCTTACATTTAGAGACACAATCTCTTCTTACACCTGCAAGACTGTATGACTGAAACATTCACTGTCATCATACCGTCATTATCTGAGATTATTGCTGATGGAGGGGCGACGTTCAGGTCGCGTCTAAACCGAACTTCTTTCACCTGTTTTGATTTCAGCGAGCAGCAGGTGCATTCTCGATTGTTGAACTTGATGCCGTGCAAGTGTCCATTCCTTATCTGAAGGGTCTCTGCCTGTGAGACCACAGTAGTTGTTCTGTGTCCCGGACAGCTTCCCATGCAGCTTCCAAAATCAATTCTCTCAGGTAGGTACCCTGGCAGAGTGACTGTCCTCTCATCAGAAACTCGGCGACAGTTCCTGGTGGCTGTTGGTGGTCGATGGACAGTGGTGATGGTCTGCACGGTGCCGGGTGCATCGATTACCATCGGCGACATGGCTGGAATAGACGTCCCGTTTTGGTCGTGTACAACGGATATGTCACTGCGTCCGCCAGCATGATCCTGTACCTCTACAATTGTAGATTGACAAAAGCATTGACAAAGGCACATAATTATAGAATGTATTAGTGCACGTCGCTCTCAACTCTTGTGCAAAGGTGTCCCTGTGCAAGTTGAAATTATTGAAAGCCCACGGTAATGGAAAATGCTGCCGTTCAATCCGGTGCAGGCTTACCAGACAATGGAAACTACAATCTCATTTCAACCACCACATTCACTCTATTACTACACAACACTGATTGTTCATGTTCTATTTTCAACCACCTCTAAACTGTGCTTTCACCCGAGAGGTGTCACGTGACCAACTTTCAACTGACCTGTATCATGGCTTGGGTACTGAAATTGAGGAAATTGTGTTTGCGAGTAGTCCAGCACTTGCGGATTGCGGTCTGGCGCAACTGCACATCAAGTGGTAAGAATCACAATGACATACATGACGTAATGACAGAAATCAGTCGCTTGATTGAAAAGTATTGTGGGCAGGCTATGTACTGCTGAGCAATAGCTAGAAAGCAATGTGTCTACATGAAGTCTACTTAGAACCGCCTACATGTATGTACATGACATTGTACATAGGCTAGGATCCAGCCTGCTCAGTAGTGGTTGGTTGGTTGGTTTTTATTTCCCAACATTGCCTGTTGGGAAATCCCTAACAAAATAATTAAAAAAATAATTAAAAAATAATAATATTTCACTTCGCACATTCAAACGGGATGACGACCCAATAAAATGACGGCAAAGGCTTAGCCTAGAAGTGGCTATGGAAGAACATAGTAAAGGCTATGGAAGCACATAGTAAGAGAATAGGATACTAATAACTGCGAGTAAACGGGGGAGAGAGAGAGAGAGAGAGAGAGAGAGAGAGAGAGAGAGAGAATACAATGTATCTGTGATGCTACGTGAGGATTACTGGACTGCACGGGGAGGGAGAGCAGAGCTATCAGCAGCAGCTCGAACTACTCCCTACAGGCGTATACAATGGTACACATGCATGCTTAAACTCAGGTAGCCGGGTAATTGTGCGCGGACCTCACCAGGGAGAGTGTTCCACAGCAGAGCACCAGCAACAGAAAATCTCCGCTGACCGCGGCGGCTACGGTTTACCTGGCTTAGTAGGCCATTTGACTGCTGATGGCGGGTAGGGGTGCCTTGTGCCGGGGTCAGAAGCTGGGCGAGCACAGGGCTGGTGCGGGCGTGGGTGCACCGCCAGATGGTGATCAATATTTTCTGCCTGTAGAGCTCGCTGACACGGTACAGGGAGTGAGCAGTGAGCAGCGGCTGCATGGCTGTCCGGGGCGGGTTGCCATCGATACAGCGGATGGCTCTGTTTTGCGCGGTTTGCAGTCGTTTCAGTTGACCCTCTCGCATTGCAGCTGAAAAGCAGCAGGAGCCATAAAGCAGGTCGGGCATTATGACCACCTTCACATACACCTGACGAGAGCGTCTTGATAGGCTTCGGCGTGCCCGCCACAGGGCGCCGATTTTCTTGGCAACCTTGGTGACCACATAGTTTACATGGGTGTCCCAATCTAGGCGATTGTCAAGGTGAACGCCGAGGTAGCGCGCAGAAGACGCTGAAGGGAGGAGACAGTCGCCGCTTTTGACTGTTACTTCCTGTACGAGCTGCTGGGGAGAGATAGTCAGAACCTGGCTCTTGGCGGCGTTCAAGATGAGGCCTCGAGACTTCAGCCAATCGGCCAGAGCAGTTGCCGCTGTGGTGAAGGTTCTGGACGCTTCCGCCGCTGAGGCCTGGGAGTCGTACAGGGCTATGTCATCTGCAAATTGTACACTTGGCACAGGCGAGGAAACCAAAGGGACGTCTCGTGTGTGTATACTGAAGAACAGAGCCTTGGGGCACTCCGCAGGTGCAAGCCAGAGCAGGGCTGGTTGAAGGCGAGATGAGGACCTGCTTGCTTGCGGCCGGACAAGTAGTCGACGAGCCAACTAAGGGCTTTTCCAGAAATTCCAACCACAAGGAGGTCTTGGATCAACTTGTCGTGGTGCACTTTATCAAAAGCCTTCGACATGTCTAATAGGCACAGCCCTGTGGTCTTGCCACTGTCTCTCGCCTTCTGCAGATTATCCGTCAGCACACAGAGGGCGTCTTCCGTAGAGCATTTCATTGTGTTTCGGGTAATACCTTGCTCAAGTCCAAATGACGAACTAACTGGTGTTGCACTGCCCCCTCCAGCAACTTGGACACTATTGGGAGAAGGGATACAGGTCTATAGTTGGTGGGGACTGATGGGTCACCGGCCTTGTACAGTGGCACGACAGACGCCAATTTAAATGCGGATGGAATAGTTCCACTCGGTCCTCAGCGAGGTGCAGAACAGCACAGCAAGAGAATATGCCAGCAAGTCAGCACACTGCTGTAGCAGAGAGCCCGGTATGCCGTCACTACCTATGGCTTTCCGCGCATCCAACTTCTCAAGGAGACGTCGGACGTCAGCAGGAGTCACAGGATCAAGTTCGATCAAGGAGACAGGTCCAGCGGGACCTTGCGGGGTGCAGAGTTGTTCAGGACGGTTGGGATTGGAGTGGAACGTGTCGGCCACCTCACTGATGCTACAACTAGGATCTTGGCGGCGGCGTGATCGCCCATTGACTGCATTTAGAATGGCCCAAGACTTCCTAGGGTTGGCCACATTTTCTTCGCACTGACGGGAGAAGTACTCGTTTCGCTTGCGCCGATACGCATTCCGAGCAGTGCTCCGTGCTTGTTTGAACTCGGCATACAGTGTGCCGTCTGTCCTATCCTTCCGCCAATGGTTGTGCAGCCGCCGTTTACGCTGTTCGAGCTGGTGCAGCTCTCTGTCAGACCAGGGAGGTATCGCCCTCCGGGAAGGCTTAGAGTTGTGCAGCGGGGCATGCTTGTCCAAAACGTACAGGAACTTAGTGTGCCACTCTTTCCAGTGGGAGAGTTCGTAAAACAGAAAGTCAACTAAATCACTACACACACACACACACACACACACACACACACACACACACACACACACACACACACACACACACAAACACAAACACACACACACACACACATACACACACACACTAACCAGAGCTGTATTACTGTCGCAACTTTAAGGACCTTGATCATGATTCATGATCCCTTCATAGTAAATGCTGCCAGCCTGATGCTCCATCCGCTCTACGGAACTATTAGCTTAATGAGATGCATCGCCGCCTATGCCGGACTCAAGGTCATCATACAAATGTCCCGGCAGTTGTTTCACTCACATGATCAATTAGATACTAACTTGCTACTCAGACACTGCGAATCCATCAATGCACTGTATCTATGGAGATTTTGCCACTTATTGATGGTAGTACTCAGTGTGTTATGGCAAGGTGTTCAGGTCAACCGAAGAGTACAGTGGTTGTGGTGGTGGTGGATTTGACCAAGTAGCAGCACCTTTACAACACCAAATACTGCTACTCAATCTTCTAATATAGTATACTGTAAAAGCAGACATTTTTGGTGGTGTTTTATTTTGGGTAACTTCGGTGCTGGCAATTTTTACCTAAAATTAAACGCAACGAAATATACACATACATGCACGCCGACTGCAGTACGGAAAACTGGTTTTAAACCGAAATTTTCACGCTACCGAACCGTTGATTTTGGAAAATAGTTCAAAAATGCCGAAAATTCCCGATTTTACAGTACTTGCCACTTAGAAAGGTCGAATGAGCGACGCTACTAGCGCTGCAGCGAAACAGTTCTGCCAGTGTAACCATGTACCCAGGATATCACACAATGAGTTTTTCACTGCTTTTGAGGACCCTGCATTATGCTCCACCCGTCACGTGATCATGGATTTAAAGTATGGTATCCCGGCTATTAGAAGTTAGTTGTAGTACATGTACAGTGCATAGCATTGCAGTGGGTTCTTCCCATTGCATTGCAGTGGGTTCTTACCATATGAAACAGAGCCGTCTGCATTGGACCTAGTGACAACCAGCGTGTCCACTAGCTTGTTCACGCTGTCATCATATTCGTGCTGTGCCGAAACCATCCGTAATGATGGTTGCACGAACATGATGACGTAAATGCCCATCAGTAGAAAAGGTATATCTGAACAGACGACCTGTAGTACAATGCAGGTACATGCAGCACAGCAGACAAGACTGAGCTCCAGGTACTATTGTGCTACACTAACATAGTAGCAAGTCCATACATCATGTACATAGCCGCTATGGTTGAGGCCTGCCGCTTTTTTTAGTTTACCTCTGGAATCTGGGTACTGAGAAGATGAACCAGGAGGTTGATTTCACTGGCCAGCACATCACAATCTTAACAACCCACCATCGCAGGGTGCTACCTGCAGGACCGTGATTGGGTTTCGGACAGACTGAGAGGTCGCAGGAACTCCCAGTGTGCCAGTCTCCACTCAGGCACGTAGCCCGCATGAGGCACGTGCACCCCCCTAACGTTTTTGACCTAGGTTCAGCATGTACACAATGACCATGAATGACATGCACCAGCCACCCTACACATAATTATGTGGCTGTGCACCCCCCCCCCCTAAAAGGGGGACCAGCTACGCCCCTGCGACTGGTACTGTCAGTAGTGACAGTAGTGACAGTAGTGACAGTAGGACTAGGACTACTAGGAGTGCATACATGTTTCCTGTTGTCTGCTTCTCTACACCCAGTGCCAGTACTAGTAGCATCGTTCTAGTCAGTGATCGACTGGAAAAGCTACATATCCAGCAACAAGACGTTTTGAAGAGTGGCCAGACAGCTAAGAGTGCAACGTTTCGAAGTAATTAGTTACAGCATTGATGCGGTGACGCCAAAGAGGGTACACGAGATAGCCGCAGAGGTGAAAGTACCGGTAGTCATCACAAGGACGACTTAGGCCAGTTAGGGTCAGAGAAAAGCTACTGACAGTCTGTATCAGTGTATGTGTTATGGTATGTTTATGTTCATTTACATGTAGTACTGTGACATACTGGCAGTGGTAGCATCTGGTCCAGTGGAGGTTGTGACCTCGAAGCCTGTGTCTCATTGTCCTGGTCATCAGGACTGCCTTATAAAACCCAAGAAACCTCAAATAGAACCTGTTGTGTTTCGGCAATCACAGACGATGAAACACTTCTCACGGGGGAATGTAACACGATGTTGCAGTTACTGTTCAAAAGACTGATTCTCCCAGCCGACATGCATGAGACACTGCATGAGATAAACTTCCTAAACGAGATAGTGTCAGACTGGTGTGAAAACTGTAGTCAAGAGTGGATGCTGTAGAAAGGGATCAACCCAATGATTCATATCCTCCCACACTCTCTTCGTAGCCCTCATTCTACACGGCCAAGTGGCACCAGGCCGCTTAGGCGACAGGTACACTGCTTGATTTGGATAGCCTGCGCAGAATATCAATCAGCGTCGCAGTGTTCCGAAAAGAAACATTGCTACTACCGGTATACACTTAGTGGAAGTTCGCGTTCTCAAGTGGCTTGACTCTGCCAGGACAAACTGCCAGGACAAACTGCCAAAATTACGATCTGTCTTATGAGCCTAATGACCATTCCCGGGCACTTTCCGATGACAAGTGCGAACATTGCACTTTGGCCAATCATCTGATCGCAGGCATACATGTTCGTGATACATACACAGTCATGTAGTAGGATGTACATGTATGTAGTAGGATGTACATGTATGTAGTAGGATGTACATGTATGTAGTAGGGTGAACATGTATGTAGTAGGGTGAACATGTATGTAGTAGGGTGAACATGTATGTAGTAGGGTGAACATGTATGTAGTAGTAGTAGGGTGTACATGTATGTAGCTTCCCAAACACAGTGCATCCTTCCACATTAGTCCCTGGGGAATTCTCGCAGGAGTATGTTGATTCTGTTTAAAGGTAGGTAGGTGCGGAACCCACCAAGGTACTACTCAATCAAACCCTTTTAAGAAGCAATGTAATGCTATCCACTGGCGTGCACACCCCACTGACTTGTGCTGACCACTCCATTGCTTGTCAACTTGAGCACGACTGCATAGTATTATGTGTGCGGAGCACGTCAACAATCATTGAATGTGCTCTTAGTTGAATGTGCTGTTAGTTTCCACCCAGCACAAACGTCCACTTAGTAATACATGTACTAGTACTGGGCGACTACAGTCACGACTACCTTCCCCTGGTACATGGTCGAGGTGCAGGGCAATCTTCTCCCTAACTGTTACTACAAACTGCCAACATTCTCACAAGCCGTACATTGTAGTACGTGTAGCACATCAACTGTATAGCTAACCGTGCTTAGTTCTTGCAATGACGTGATTGGTATCGCTTAGTAATTACTATAGTAAGTGATGATAGGAGCTTTAAGGTAGGTGATGATTTGACCAGTTCAACACATACACTCATTGACCTTGAACGGGTACGAGGTACCTGTAATAATCTGCTTACCTTCATTTTCGCGACTTGATCTTCTAATGTTTTCGAATGGGAGATATTCTTTGAGAAGCGATACCGAGTCAGTGTCACAGGCAAGCCACGCACAGTCGCACAGTCGTATGGACTAGACAATGAAGGATATGACGATAGGAGGATGGCAGGATGGGAGGATAGGAGGCGGAAGTAGTTGCTAGTCGCTAGTCAGTGGTCGTGACAAGAACAATCTTTCCACGATACCGGCGATTCTGAAGGTCGTATGACAAGAAACTTCTCTTTTATAGCCCACGAGTCACGACCTAGCCGAACCATAACGTATCCAGAGACAGACATGGCGTAGAAGCTAAGGCAGCGTCAGTATTCCCATTGTTTTAACTTCTACTCAAGGCTGCTCATGATACAGATAACCGGGAGTGAGAGCTCAGCAGTGTCGCGATCTCCACACTATTCTACCGGGTATGTGTCGTACACCTGCTACATGCAGCAAGCAAGGTATGTAGTGTGTGTAGTGCTGGTGGCGATGCATTCAGTGATTCACTGCTAAGTAAACCAAACACACACCACACACATACACACACACGCACGCACGCACGCACGCACGCGCGCAAGGCGAGTAATGGATCACCCACATGCACGAGCACGTCGAAATTTCGACACGGGACAAAAAGAGCTCTGCGGTCCGTACGGTAAAAATCACCGGCGTTGGTATGCGCTACATAGTCATTCCGAGCGTCGTACATGTACTGCAAGTCATGTAGCAAGGTGACAACTACTAAGGTCCTGCATACCGCTCTGGACAAATCACACTCGTGTTACTGTGCGCATCGTGCCGTGGACTAGATTTTGCAACTGACAGTCACACCGCCACAAAGCTCAGCAGCAGAGTAACAGAGTCTCGTGTGAGAGATGAACGAAAGCAATGATCCGCCAGGGCCAGTACATGTATTGTACGGTAAGTGGTTGGTGTATTTGTTCGCCAGCTCCTGCTTACATGTAGCTCAGGCAAGTGAGAAGCATTTCACAGGTGTAACTGCCAATTCTTGCAATTGTTTGTCGCGATGGCATGGCCCAACCCCGTCCCGACATCGCACGACAGGGAGTGGTGCTTTAACAGCTTGCCGCTCTTCTTGCGCTTAGCATGAAGATGGCTGGTGGCAATAGGGTTGTCACGTGGCATACTCTTCTCATGGCATACTCTAAAACATACATTGTATACACTATAGGCATGATGGTTGCCTACAGTACAACTGCCACTACATTGTAGGACATGTGAGTCAGGTAACGTTAGCGGACTGGGTGTGTGCACACGCATAGCACCAAGACTTAAGAGTTCATGGATGTTTGATAGCACCAAGACTAAGAGTCCATGGACTTTTGATAGCACCATATCCAACGGCTATATGTAGGACGTGTAGTGCTATTGTGCACAATCCCGAGAGCGGTCCAAAGGACTAGCGCAGTGCATAGCTATACATGTACATGTAGATCTCAATTTAATTACTGCAGTTTAGCTTGCCAACCAGCAATTGGAAAGTGAGAAGAGTAGGCAGGATCTAGGACTAGGAATGTGCTCGCTTGTGCAGAGCAGCTCTATTAGTCTGCAACCATCCCCTGTTTTCCCTCTCCCTCTCTCTTCTCTTACACGTCGTATTCTCACTCTTACTAGTCTTAGCCATGCAATGGGTGCCATGTGGTCTGCAGCTGGGAATCATTATGCACCTTCTGCGAGCCGAGGTTCAGAAAGCAATTGTAGGTGGGACAGTAGTAATATCATTGGCCGTCGCCAGTAAACTATAGTGCAAACAAGGAACATAGACCAGTCATAGTTGTATCAGCAACGCACACTACCGGTACACGTACAGTGAGTTACAGCCATACCCCTGACCGTACAGCCATACCGGTATACCATGGTATACTCCTGACCGTATGGCTCCACTGTTTGTCTTGAGA